TATGTATCCGGTTTGTGTTACTTTTTAAGGAATTAATGTAATTATAAACTAAAGAGGCATAGATTGTAATTTCATATTAAAACTATGTGATTCCTAAAATTTATCCTTAATAAAATGTTTATTTGTAATAAATTAAGTAATTTACTTTTACAATACAATAATTAATTTAACTAAGAAAAAAGGCCAAAAAGGGAGAAAATAGATAAATGCAAATGGAGGCTATAGAGATGTGTCACATTACCTTATTTATGTTTCTCCTTTACTATCTATAGATATAGATTTTCAATACCAGGTATAATAACATTCACAATTTTCAATACTCCTTATTTTTATGATAATTCTTCATATTTTTTTAATTAAAAATTTATACTATATAAATATAATTTTTATTTATGAATTTATTTGACTTATTCTTATGTTTGTTTATATTTTAATTTCTCATAAATCTTCTTTTACTTTAACAAACTTAAGATGAAAGTTCTATGTTTAAGTTGAATAAGAAGAAAGTTTTTAAAAAAATACATACGGTACTACCATCATGGGAATGGGCACACAAAAATATTTAAGCTAAATAAGATGAAAATTTTATTTTTAAAAATAAAATAATAATTAAAGTTTGCGAAGAAAATATAAAAACTAAATAAAGTGAGGGTGATTTTATAAATAAATAATTTGTTTTTAAAATTTATGCAATGCGTTTTATTTTGAACACAACAAATCAAACATTCAATAAGAAAATAAGAAATAATCTCAGCATTACTTATCTCATCATAACTAATCATGATATAACGTATCCCGTCATACCTAATCTCATCATAGCTTGTATTAAAACCAAACAATACCTAAGTGTTAACTACTTCAATCTCCCCGTTTTATGTAGAATGCTTGATTAAGCACAAAATATACGAATTTTTATTTTTTAAAATTTATGATATTAAACATTTCATAAATATTCATCTTATTAAGCTAGCATCTGTCCCCAAATTTTTAAATATTCTTGGCAAATTATTTTTGAATGAAATTTCATCAAGTGTTTGGCCATAAATTTTTTGAGAAATATTTGATTATTCTAAAAAAATATATGATTTATACCCATAAGTTCTAAAAATTATTCAAAATACCTTTAAGTTTGTATTGTCATTTTATAATGAAAAAAAATAACATTATAACATAATTGATAACAATCAACAAAAACAAAATAACAATACAGACAAGAACAATTATACAGTAATCACATACTTAAACTTGTCATTGATTCAAGATAAATTATAGCCCATTAAAAATAAATTGTTCTTTTTTGTCACGTTCTATATAGATAGCAGAGAGGATTAGTTATTAGTTATTAATGAAGTACTTGAGTAGATAAATATTACAGTTGCAATCAATAAATGATGGTTATTTTTTTATAAAATATTAAAAAATTATCAAATATTCTACTTACCAAGTAATGGCAAGTTGTATAGCCAAACACTATTTTCGAAGTTTTTTTCAAATATATTTGCAGTCAAATGGGACCTAAGAATAAAAATTAAATTATTTATTAATATAAAAAAATGTAATTTATTTATTTTTAGAAAAAATGGTGTGTTAGTCCAGTTGCCACTAGATAAACAAACCCTATCGCCCGTTTCATCATTCAACACTCACACCGCTTCGTTTGTGTCGCCCATTTTCCATATATTTTCCCAGTCAAAATCCCTTCTGAGTCGGAGAAGCATGGCCCTACAACAATGGGATGCCTGGAAAGAATCAATCATAGAATCCACGGGTCTATCTCCTGCAACTATTTTCACTATTGTTGCTTTAGCTGTTGCTTTCTACTATGCTATCTCGGGGTTTTTCCCCTCATCTGATCATGGTCACCACCAAAGGTCTAGAGACTTCGAGGAACAGACACAGGCTTTGCCTCCTCCTGTTCAACTTGGAGAAGTCACTGAAGAGGAGTTGAAGGAATATGATGGGTCTGATCCCAAAAAACCTTTGTTGATGGCTATTAAGGGTCAGATCTATGATGTTTCTCAGAGCAGGTATTCTTCTTAATCTGTAAGTAGTGTAAGCTATTTTGCCAGTTTTTGTTTTTTGTTTGATGCTTTTAGATTTTGACTTGGATTTTTGGAGTGATTTGCTTTTGGGGGGTGGGTTTCACTTTCATGATTGTAAATTTAGGTGATGGAAATTTGGTATTTTACACGCTATTGCTTAATATTCTGGATTTGGCCTGTGTAATCTGGGCTGATGTGTACTGTGTAGGCCTGACAATCCATATCCATTCTGTTTTCTTACTTTTGGTGCCTGACTCGATGGGGAAGTCTTTGGATGAGATGTTTGATGTTCTCGAATGTCCATTAAGTGTGCAACTCTGCTGGTTAGGTGACTATTCTAGTCGAAGGACGAAAGTGGTCCAAAGGGCTTATAGATGTCTTAGGTTCAATTCCTCAAGATAGCAAAGGTGACCTGTGTGTAATTCTTAGACAAGTGGCTCGAGTTCTCCATGTTTAATTCAAACAGCTTCGCTATCATCAGTTCATCATCGTTTAGATAGTAATCAACTAGTCTTCTTAACTAATGTATTCATTCTTATTTTGTTGTGGTTTTGAGGAGACGGAGAACATATTCAGTTTGTTGTTTATCTAGTTTTATTTACGTCCAGTAAAGTCCAGTTGGAATGGATAAATTGCTTAAGTTGAATTTATAACTCTTGTATTCGGAAGTGTTAAACTTATCCTTGCCCTTGTTTCAGCTGACAAATCATCAAATAAAGATGAATTATGTGTTCTGTTAGTCTCATGTACATTAAATTCATCCACAACTTTATAGCCTGATAGATCAAATATCTTGATACGAGTCTGAATAAGTTCCTTACTCAAATGTAAACCTAACATATCATAATCAACCATTAAGCTTTATGAAATGCTGAGGACTTGTCATCTTGGTGTTTAAATGTGTGTGTTCCTGCAGAATGTTCTATGGACCTGGGGGACCTTATGCATTGTTTGCTGGAAAGGATGCTAGTAGAGCTCTTGCCAAGCTGTCCTTTGAGGAAAAAGATCTCACAGGGGATATTTCTGGCCTTAGGTGCATTTGAGCTTGATGCCTTGACAAGATTGGGAGTACAAATTCATGAGCAAATACGTCAAAGTTGGGACTGTGAAGCAGGCAGTGCCGCCAGTAAATGATGGGGAAGCTAATGACGGATCTGTTGAAGCAACTGATGGTGAAGCTAAGCCAGCCGAGGGTGATGCTTCAGGGAGTGCCAAGCCATTGGAAGATGATGGTCCATCAAAAGGTTCCAAGGCTTGTGCTGATGCCCCTTCAGAGACTGTGGCTACTGAATCTGCGGTCAAATCTGAGGCTGATGTCGACAAGAAAGACTAATTGGGACAATTTAGTTCAAGTGACAAGTTGAGAAGTGAGAACCACAGGGAACTGCTTTGTGGAGATCTGAAATACATAGCATCTTGTCTCAAGATATAGTCTAAATTTCTATACTGTTGTATGAAATAATGAACAAAGCACATTTCACTTCCTGTGTCTTATAGTCTATAGAGGTGTTCTTTACTGAGGTAATGCATGCTTGATTTAGCTGGAAAGAGGCCCCTTTATCTTGTCTAAACCAATGCATCTAATGTTGCAGTTCAGTCGCAGTCTCCATATTACGTCTAATTCTTACGCTTACACTTGATGTTTCTGGAGAATTTCATGGCTTAGCACTAAAAGAGAAGTCTACAAGTTTGGTATAGCCGTATAGACATAAGACAGCTGGCATAATAATATATTAATGACCAAATAAAATAATTTCACGAAATATTAAACACGTTAAATATCTTTGTTAGTCTCATCACCAAACAATATTTAGTCAGCCGGCCAAAAAAGGTTTTAAGCACTCTATTGATGAACTGATCTTTACAAGTAATGCAACCAATTTGATGGAACTGAAATAAATACACACACCAAACGTCAAATCTGAGCAGTCTGGCCAGGCCATCTTTTCGCTTTCGTCGCACCAAAGGAGTCCAGAGCCTACCGAGCACCTTTTTCTAAAGCCAATAAATCAAAAGAGCCAGAAGTTTGTATGTGGTGAATACTGTAGGTTGAACTTTGAAGACCTCAAGAAAATTTGGGTCGTAAATTCTAGGGGGTGTAAAAGGTCGAAAGCAAGTCTTTTGATACCGATCATATTATCATATCTATTTATGTGCCCGACTGAATTAATTTATTTTTAAATGATTTTGACTTTTAAACATTTTTCTGGTTATGAAAGTGTTTGACTTTTAAATCTAAATACCTTCAAAACTAATAAAGTGCTTAAAAGTAAAAAATATCTAAAAATAAGTTAATCAATACGGCTACTAACTATTTTAGAATACATGTCCTTTTAATGGTGAAGTTTTAAAGCAACCATACCAATTCGTCAAGGAAAGGAACCCTTTAAACGGGTTAATATTTTTATATATGGAAGATATTTACTTTGAATTCGAAGTCAAAAGGGCTACTTTTTTTCCCTCTAAAATACAAAAAGGTCACTTGTTTTGGTAATTAACTTAAATGGACAAATCACCCAACTCGAAGTGAAATATCTTTAGATTTTGCGACCGTCTATTTTCTATATATCTCGCTCACAACAGAGCGGCGATATCCATTATCCCTACTCTTTTCCAAATTACAAAAGTTCCTTAAAATTTAAGGATTTCGAATACATCACTCAACGTTGGGATATATCGAGTCCCAATTTCGAATACATCACTCAATGTCCTGATACATCGCGTCCCAATTTCCAATACATCACTCAAGTACAATACAACACTCAATGTAAGACTTCACTTATAGTACATCGTACGAAAGTCATATCACTAAAAAGTTCATGGGCTTATACATACAAATTTTATAGAATATAGTAAAGTATTTAGGTAAGTTTCTTATTCTTTTTACCTTATATTTAATTTTTTAAAATGTATATATCATTGTTTATTTCATTCATAGTAATAAATAGAGTAGCCAGCCTAAATGATCACACCTTCAAGAAGGAATCCCAACGTCCTTCTTTCAGTTTTCGACTCAAATTTGTTAGGATCCTTATCCTCCAAGGAATTTTCAAAATTTGAACTCGTCTCTTACAAAAATTTCCGACCGTTGTTTTCCCCCCAACATCCACCCATTTTCTCCCTACAAATCCCCTTTTTTGAACACATAAATTCTTCATCATCTAAAACAGAGCGAGGGTTTTCAGATAGCTAATATAGCAGCTCAGATTTTAGGATTTTTTATAGGAAAACGTTTTCTTCTTCTGCTGCATCAGGCTTCTTTGTTCGTCAGAGTCCAGCGACCGTTTCAGTGGTGAGATCTTCGTTGCTGTCTTGAAAAAGGTAACCCTTTTCTCCTTTCTTGCTTCATTTTTTTTTCCAATTAATTCTCTGTTTCTTGTTTAAGTTTGGCAAATAGTTGTTGTTTATTTTTAGTAGTGAGTTTAAGAAATATTACTGTCTCTACTGTTTAATGTGGTATGAATTAGGATCATCTTTTGAATTTTCTTTCCAGATGCTTAATGTCTTTGTTGTTTATTTTCCCATTATTATATCAGTGTTTTGATTTGCAGTCTTAGTTCACTGTTTGTCTAAGTATATCATGAATCTGCTATGTATTTTGGTTTACTCGTTTGTCGATCTTCATTGCATAGGCTGATCTGTCTTTCTTTGAGTCGTTTAAGCAAATAATGGATTGAATCTTTTGTTTATCGATGGAATCTTTGGCTTCAGAATCCTTTACAGATAAACTATGTTCTTGCTACTATGATTTTTGCTTCAAACATGTTGCTCCTTCGCTTCCATTTCTTTAAGTTTTAGTGTTAGTATAGATTAACATTGAGTGCATATGATTGATATGTGTTTGTATAGATTAATTTTAAGTGCATATGATTGCTATGTGTTTATATAGATTGACAGACATTTGAACACCTCCCTTTTCTAAGTTTCTGCAGGTTTCCCCCACAAAATCCACCAATTTTCTCCCTGTAAACCCCCTTCCTTCACGGATTTGACCATAAAAAAACACAAAATCTTAATCATCTAAAACAGAGGGGTTTTCATATAGCTAATGGAAGCGTTTTCTTCTTCGGCTGTATCAAGCTTCTTTGTTCGTGGGAGTCCAGCCACCATTTCAGTGGTGGAAACTTCGTCTCGTCCCAATTGCTGCCCAGAAAAAGGTAACCTTTTTCTCCTTTAATGCTTCATCTTTTTCCAGTTAATTCTCTGTTTAGTTAAATAGCGGTACATCTGTTTCTGGTTTAAGTTTGGCAAATAGCTGTTATTTATTTTTAATAGCAGTTTAAGAAATATTACTATCTCTATATGTTGCTTAATGTAGTATGAATTAGGATCATCTTTTGAATTTTCTTTCTAGATGCTCAATGTCTTGTTGTTTCTTTGCTTTGATTTCCAGTCTTAGTTCACTGTTTGTCTAAGTATCATATGAATCTGCTATGTATTTTGGTTTACTCGTTTGTGGATCTTCATCGCAATATGCTGATCTGTCTTACTTCGTTTGAGTGTTTTAATCACTGTTTGAGTCCCTCATTTAACATATAATAGATTGAGTCTTTTGTTTATCAATGAAATCTTTGGCTTGAGAATCCTTAACAGATAGAAGTATGTTCTTGCTACTAGGATTCTTGCTTCAAACATATTGCTCCTTTGCTGCCATTTCTTTAAGATTTAGTGTTAGTATAGATTAATGTTAGGTGCATAGTAGAGATTCAAGCTCCACAAAAGCTCTCTGTTGGTAATTGATTGCTGTGTGTTTGAATTATTCTTGTTTATTTCACCTCTGTCTCATACCAATGTTGCATTCATCTTAACAATTAGTCCAACTTACTCTTTTATTCTCTCCGTTCACTTTACTTGTCCACTTTGAACTTGATGGAAGCCCAACATCACGTCATAAAATATTGATTTCGGTTATTCTAAGGTTTCTTGCGTTCTAATTGGAAAGTTATCTACATCTATGTAGTAGGATATTACATTTTTTATTTACTATTTTCTTCATAATGCAGTCAGGATTATTGCATTCACAACCCAAGTCAGCTGTAGGAACACCTGCTTACATTCCTGAGGTCCTGTTACGCAAGGAATATGATGGTAATGTACACTTAGCTCCTTGAAATATTCTCGGGCAAGTTTTCTTTCGACCTTTAATGCCATCCTCCCTTTCTCCGCTCCTCCCATCTAGCTAAAAGAAAACCTCTAGCATTACTACCATTTCATTACCCCGACTATTTTACTTTATCAATTTCCTTTTGACCAATCTGTTAGGGAGACTTTGGTTGCCATATATTTCGGATTTTACTAAATATTGGAGTAGTGGATATGCTTAAATGATTGCTATGTGTTTGAGTTATTCTTGTTATTCACCTCTGTATCATATCAATGTTGCATTCATTTTGTCTGTATCATATCAATGTTGCATTCATTTTCTTCATCTTAGTGTTTCTATTTATAATCATTTTATCTACTGATTCGTCCTCTATTTGTGATTGATTAAATCTTGTCTGTGCTAGACCTTTTTCGGATATTGATTAATTTAGTCATCTTTGTTTGCTCATCTCTGTCTATGTCTTCATTCTCTATCTTTTCAAATAAGTTTTTCAAGAAATACCTCATCTTTGTTCTTCTCAAAGCAATTTTCAGGTATTTATTGATTGTTATTTTCTGTTGGCTTCAATTTTCCTTTTCCATTTATCTTTTCTTCATTCTGGATTTGTACCAATTCCTATCTGAGCATGTATTCTTGTAATAACCAAAGAGGCTATCAATGCCAACATTTCCTCTCTGTGATAGTAGTTTTTTTTCTCTCAAATGGCTATCTAGTCCACTATTTTTCCCAGAGGTGCAACTGATTGTTTCTCTTAACCATGCAGATCCAGGAAAGCAAAGTACTAATCTTGAAAGAGCAAGGAAGTGACCACCAAGTTGATGAAACAATCAGTTGTAAGTTGCAACACGCTCTTCAATAAACATTCGATGAGAAATATCAATAGGAGCAAGCCCAAAAAAGCACTACGTCAGGTCAATTTTCCTTCAAAGCCAATCCCTGAGTTGCCTTATAATTCTCTAACTGAAGTGACAGAGCTAAGAATCCTTTCATGTTTCTGCATCCTGATGTCTCCATAGATTAAGAGCGTCTCTGACAGCCTTGGCTTCAGGAGAATTCTCCCAGGCTCTCTTTTCCGCTTCTAGAACAGTCACTTTATCATAAAATCCAGTCTTAATCATGAGAAACTCCATGGAACCTCCAATCATGGCCGAAACAACTGCAATTTTCAGATACCAATCCCAGAATTTTATTTTACCCTTGTAACACTTCTTCAATTCCTAGTCGCCCAAGCAATATTGATTCTACTGCTTCTTCTCCGTTTTCTTGATTTCTTCACTTCAATGAATCCATTGGTTTGCTATTTGTGCCACCAGTTTACATGGTGTAATGCCTATCAATGGGGCGCGTCTGGGACCGATTCCTGTGATAGTAGTTACTGTTATTGTTTTCTTATAATTTATTCAGATGTCTCCACTTTGAACTTTACACGCCCCTTCAAAAATATTAGTATGAATATTTCACCATGATATTCCTATTGATTGTTAGGTCTTGAGAAACAATGAAAATTTGATTATACATCTTAATATTGTTGAATGAAGTTAACATCTCGCTGTTTAGATTGCTTTGAATTAGTATGATACTTTTGGCACATAGTTTACACAATATGCTTTAGTTTTAAAATCACATTCCTGATGTGATTTTATTCTCTTTGTATGTGACACCTGCATTGGGAGTCATCTAGTCATCTTTGAATTTCGAGTTGGTTGAAACCCAACTGATATTCATCGAGTCAACCTCATCTTGTTCGAGTGAAAGGGAAGCAAGTATGCAAGAAATGGAGTTGATATATAGACGACATAAGATACAGGTGTAAAATGGGCTGTATATGTCCAATATACAGGGGAAGTAGATGATATACACTAGTATATACACAGCTATACAGTGACATGGGCCAAAGCCCAAAGTGCAGCATTAGACCCAAAACCTTAATACAGCTGGCCCAAACCCTTAGGTACAGCCCAAAAAAAGTTATTTACTTTTTTTGTATTTATTGTTTTAATAGTAATTATTTGCATAATCTAACTTTAACTTGAATTTAATTAAATTCTCCTAAAGATACCATTTTTTACGTTAATTTACTCACCTAATAATTTCAATCAAATGCTTTTCCACTTAACTAATCAATATGGCTAAGTTTATCTTATTTTCAATTTTTTCTCAAGGGACACAGACATTTTTATTTACTTTAAAATAACTTTTTTATAGTTGATCAATATTTTCAATCAATAATTTAATAATATTAATTAGTTGCGTGAAAAACATTTGATTGAAATTAAAAATTAAGTGTCAAAGTTCTTAATATCTTTGTTGAATAAAAATTTTCATAATATTTTTGAAAAACATTAAGTTGACTTCTTAAAAGTATTTTTCTCAAATTATTTTATATTAAAAATATTTCAGGTGGGCATGACGCAAGGCGGAGGAGCGAGGCAGGGGTGGGGGCTTTGGGGCACGCTGCCTCGAGGTCGGGGGTGGGCG